ATAGTTTAGGAGTGATTATGAAGTTCAAACCTACGAATTTTTTTTATTCTTAGATCTGATCTCTGGTAAATGAAACAAGGGATAGGGTGTCATTGTCTACTTTTCTTTTGTAAAATCCTGTGAAAGAAAGAAAGGTTTTCTTTGCTGGTCAGTAGACCAGGAATTGTTAGAAATTAAACTTAGCGTTCGATTTTGGGGAGAGATCACAGAAAATATAATTTCCTACAGATTTCTTTTCGAATTTGATGGCCACTGACTTAACTAAAATTTACTATGGATTAGAAAGGTACAAGCTTACGAAACTATGAGAATCGAATTATCTACATAAGCCAATGGTTAGTTAAAAATCCTTGCAGACCGGGATGGGTCAAGCCCCACGCTTCTCTATCGCTACTTTCACGGGAAGTGCTCGGACGAACTACATTCGTTGGTTCCTCCAGGCCTAACCTTCATGGCAAGGGCCCTCCATGCCGCTTACATCGTAGCAAACCACCCATATTTCCCCCGTATTCCATCGGTGAGATTTACGTTTCACTCGAACAGCTTCTTTCCTCGAACCATTCCTCTGTGGAACCGACTCCCAAAAGGATGTCTCCCAGGATCACTACAATCTTAACCTGTTCATGTCTAGGGTCAACCGTTACCTGCCTCTCCTATCCGTACAAGCTGTCTCCTAACGTAACCTGAGTGGCCCCCAGGAATTGTACGAAATGAACTTTACTGTAAAATAAATAAATAAATAAAAACTACAGCCGTAATTAAAAGTTTTTTTTTCTTAAAGAAAAATTAACTCTGGTATTTCAAAATTAGTAAATATTGTTCGAATTATAAACCCAAAGGAGCAGGAAACATCAAAGTAAGAAAATTTCTAATATATAGAAAAGGTTTACTGTTATTTAGTGTGGTTTTAAAAAAAAACTGGGAATTTTCATTGCTTTAGAATCAAAATTCTATCTTTGGATCCAATACTATTAAGAGAATGTCATCCTAGGTCCTATCTATTGGGTTACTGATACCACACTTTGTAAACGACTTAATCATTATATAATTCCGTAGCTTTTTACCATGACTACTTCATCCAAAGGCACACCTGAGTAAGTGTCGGTCTTCATACTATCGGATGCAAGTAGATTTTGGCAAGAAAAGTGTGTCTTAAAGATCACAAAAGAGAATTGTGATGCATAAGTGTTTTTTTTTTTTTTTTTTTGTTTTTGTTTGTTTTTTTAGTTTTTGAATCCCGCGATCAAGACTCTTCATGCATTAGTTTTCCTTACTATCTGTGAATTGGGATGGATCTTTGAGAAAGGTAGTGGAATGGTTTCCCGTTGCCTTCTCTACGGTTTGGAATTCAGATTAGTTCTACTGGACTGGATGACAACCAAGGTGCCAGTCTACCCAGCTAGAAGAAAGATTCCCGACTTTCTCAAATATAATGTGAACACAAGATACGAGGACGGAAACTTTGAAACCATTTCGCCGATTCCACTTTCAGTGCTAACAACCATTACGCCACGTGCACATTCGAGACATAACCTAGACTTTACGAATTTAAGCGACGGTGAAGTAATGGATAGCGGCTCGGATTGAGGAATCCGAGAGCCGAGATCGAATTTCAGTCGAATCCATTACATTCACTTACGTGCTAATACCCTTGGGAAAGGTATGAATCCTCTTCTTCTCCCCCTAGCTATGGGTAAATAGCACGACAGACCGCGTTCTATAGCCTTGGATGGCAACTGGTTTACCGCAGAAAGAAATGGCAACCTACTGCAGGAAAAATCTGCCTCGTCAGTCATGTATCGAAAGATCGCCTAAGCGTGTATCACGCATGCCACATAACTGACTGACTAGATTGGCGGCAAGGTTTTACAGTTGAAATGGCTTGATTAACCGTAAGTTCTATGCTAATATTTTTCTATCGTGCTTCCTGGTTGACGAACACTCTTCCAGAATTTTGCTTCCCAATCAATTATGATATTCAAAAATTTAAATACAATTTCAGTCATTATCTTCTTTTGTAATTCATGTTTTTTTATTATTCTCTCTCCTTAACAGTATATTTTTCTTTTATTCTCTAACACTCAGTAGCCACTTGCGTCTTAGTGGCTTTATTGCTTTGCTTGGGATGAAATAGTTGAAAAAAAAAAAACAATATTAAATCGCTGTTATAGTTCTCGCGCGCATGCGTTGTCGTGACGTAAACATTTAATGAGTCACCATTTAACAGAAGTGAAGTCAACTTGGCTTTTTGATATTTTCACATCGACCTCAGTGCCAATCTATTGTCGGTTCAAGAATATCAGCGCGGAAGACAGACGGTCGCGATGAATTCCTTGCATTTTTAATAACTTCTAACAACACCCACCCACCAGTTCAATTGCACTCACAACTGTTATTACTAATGCTACTATGACTATCATTATCCACTGCTTGGAGTACACGGCGACAGGGCAATGGACCGAGCTAACAAAGAACGTTATTGTAACGCAGCAATCAAGTTATATTTTTATTGATTCGTTTTTACGGTTTATCAACATTTTGTAGGTCATTTAAAAACCAGAAAATATTTTTTAGAGTGTGAGAATATTTTCTTTCTTTTTTGTGATGACAATGGTTTAGTGATACAAGTCTTACTAATTAACCCATAGCTAGGAGAGAAGAGGCGTATTCATACTTTTACCAAGAGTACTAATGCGTAAGTGAATAAAAAGAACCCAACCGGAATTAGAACACGGCTCTATTAACAATTCCTGGTGCTACGACAGTATGATGTCTACCGACCATTTTCTATTAGTGTATATCTACTATTCATTTTCTACTATGGTATGATATTTGCCAACTGTTGGAATACAAAACAGATACAAAATTCAAAAGAAGGGAATAGCAAATAGCAATTTCATCAAATGACCAAACATCATGGGAAGGAAAATTTACAGTAAACTTACTCACCAACCATGATACCAAATGATGTGAAACCAAATGCAAAACAAACAGTATACTGTTAGTTATATATACTATTTTACAGGAATATCATGGAAAATGGTTTCGCACAAATACAAATAGAAATGAGTGTCAGATATGTTTCTTGCACAAATCAACCCTAAAAGTATTCACAAACATAGCTATTGTGCCTTTGCACATTGTCTACACTGTCAAGAAGATGACAGATATAGCCAACAGTGTCCAGAGGAAGCCAGCAATGATGGAGTCAACAAGTGTAATTAGGACTTCATAATACTCAAGAACAAAACGGCAACATCCTCAACAATATTACGGTTACGGTTAGATTTAGAACTTAGTTTTAGAGATAGAGTTAGGGTTAGGGTTAGGATTTAGGTTTAAAGGCTGTGAACATTGAATTGGGTTAGGGTTAGGGTTAGGGCTAGGGTTAGGATTTAGGTTTGAAGGCTGTGAACATTGAATTGGTTATGTAAAATCATTAAAAAAAAATTTATACAAAAATAGCACCTAGTTTTGAACCGTTGTTGTGTATAAAATCATAAAAAATTTATACAAAATAGAAACATTTCACCTGCACATTCAAGCTTACAGAACCTATTATTCCCAAGCGGTCACCCATTTAGGTACCGACCAGGCTAAACGTTGCTTAACGTCGGGAACCGGTGTTTCCAGGTGATGTGATTGTAAGCCCTGTTGTATTTTGGTTGAGGGATATGTTGTGGCTATGCTACTGTAACGTGTCAATCATCTATTTTCCTGTCCGAAAACCGCTCATTTTTAACCTACTTACATTGTAACGGTAACGCCGCCGAGTGCTGAAGATGAGAACGCCATTTTGTTAGATGGGAGTTACACATTGTTACTTAGCCCTATACAAGATCATTTTAAAATTGAAAACATCCCAAAATAGCGTTTAAGTAATATATATATATATATATATATATATATATATATATATATATATATATATATATATATATATGTATGTGTGTGTGTGTGTGTGTGTGTGTGTGTGTGTGTTTAGGTAGCAATCCTTCTTTCATGCACATTTCATTGAATACGACAGACAAGGTGCTTTCATTTTTTTTTTATAGGATTTCTCATTTGATCTAATATTTTTTTTCTTTTCAGATGATAAATTATATAAAAACTGTCCAATTGTTCTTTTATCTGAGCGCTTTCAGATACATTTCAACCTTTGAAAATGGCTAAATGCATAGCCGAAAGCGCTCGATAAAAAAAAAAAAAAACATTTGGAGAGTTTTACATAATTTATCATCTGAAAAGAAAAAATATTGATGACATGAGAAATTGTAAACTAAATCAAATCCCATTGCCTGTCGTTTAATGAAATATATATATATATATATATATATATATATATATATATATATATATATATATATATATATATATATATATATATATATATATATAAGGTTAATGGTCAAAGTTGAATCAGACCAGGGAACAGTAGTATTAAAAAGTGCTTAATACACGTGAGAAAAATATAAGTAAAAATAAAATAACATGTAGAGCATTTAAGTTGATATATATATATATATATATATATATATATATATATATATATATATATATATATATATAAATATATATATGTGTGTGTGTGTGTGTGTGTGTGTGTGTGTGTGTGTGTGGAGAAATTGTATGACAAAGTGGGAAAAGTTAACTTGTAACACATTTCGTCTTTAATCGGACTAAATTCCTTATTTTTGCTATGTCGCAAAAAAAGAGTTCTAAAAGATTCTAAAGCCCCCAGCACCGAGTGCGTGTGTGGTACCAACATAAAAAATTTAGTGCGATGAAGTCCTGAAGGACGAAATGCGACACAAGTAAAAATATATATAGTTGTCTCACATATATATATATATATATATATATATATATATATATATATATATATATATATATATATATATCCATACATACTTCAGTGTGTCTCTCCGCGCATGCGCAGACGTTTAGTGTCATATATACACATGAGTATAAATGACATGAAATTTGGTTACTGTGGCCTGATGAGTAAACAGCTCATCTCGCATATCCGTCTTTTTTTTATTGTAGCGACTTCGATTCTCACAGCTTTTCCCATGGTTTTAGCTTTTTCCTCTCAAACTCGGTCGCGCTTAGCAAAGATACTTAAAGCTCTATCTATGTGCGCCTGCGTGACTTCTCGATGCCGTTCACCCCCCCCACACACACACACCATTTTTTCAACTTCGCGATTTCCCCGCTTATTTTAACTTCAACATCTCGACAAAATGATAAATCTTTAGTTTCTTATATCTAATGTCAACTCATGGAGAATCTGATGATAGCACATCTGGCCGTCATTGCTGGCGACTAACGGAGATGTGAACAAAAATTATGAGAAGTGGGAGGTGGATAAATTTAGAGCCCTTTCTAGCAGATTCAGTTGGAAATAAGGTCGTATAAAGAGAACTAAACCAACAAAAACAAAACATATACATAAAAAAAAACAACAAACAAACATATCTCCCAGAAGAAATATCCTAGCGTCAAAAAATGTCTGCAGTTTATTTCGGAAAAATTCGGAACAGTACATCTGAGGAGCTCCAATTTCAGAGGGATGGGGAGGGTGCTAACTTTTGCAGATTTCTGATAGAAAAATTCTATTGATTAACGGTGTGTGACGCAATGGTCATTCTACTAAAACTGACAGGGATCCTGGTTTTTTTTATGAGCCGAGATTTTTATCTAGATTTAAGATCATCTGTTAAACTCTCTGTCTGTCATTCAATCCATTCCTCAATCCATCTCTTTAAATTAATCTATCAGTGAATTTAAATTCACATATTCACCCTCTTTTTACATTCATAAAGAAACAAATAAATAGACAAAAAAATCTATCTATCTATCTATCTATCTATCTATCTATCTATCTATCTATCTATCCGAATCAACTTGTTCAAATAATTTTATTGATCTATCTGTTGATCCCATCTATCTCTTGGACCCAGATATCAGTACGTCCGAATCAACTTGTTCAACTTGTTTTCCACTATCTATCTATCTTCTTCAACTATCTATCTATCTCTTGACCCAGATATCAGTACGTCCGAATCAACTTGTTCAAATAATTTTTACGATTTTCCACTATCTATCTATCTATCTATCTATCTATCTATCTATCTATTGACCCAGATATCAGTACGTCCGAATCAACTTGTTCAAATAATTTTTACGATTTTCCACTATCTATCTATCTATCTATCTATCTATCTATCTATCTATCTATCTCTTGACCCAGATATCAGTACGTCCGAATCAACTTGTTCAAATAATTTTTACGATTTTCCACTATCTATCTATCTATCTATCTATATATCTATCTATCTATCTCTTGACCCAGATATCAGTACGTCCGAATCAACTTGTTCAAATAATTTTTACGATTTTCCACTATCTATCTATCTATCTATCTATCTATCTATCTATCTATCTATCTCTTGACCCAGATATCAGTACGTCCGAATCAACTTGTTCAAATAATTTTTACGATTTTCCACTATCTATCTATCTATCTATCTATCTATCTATCTATTGACCCAGATATCAGTACGTCCGAATCAACTTGTTCAAATAATTTTTACGATTTTCCACTATCTATCTATCTATCTATCTATCTATCTATCTATCTATCTATCTATCTATTGACCCAGATATCAGTACGTCCGAATCAACTTGTTCAAATAATTTTTACGATTTTCCACTATCTATCTATCTATCTATCTATCTATCTATCTCTTGACCCAGATCTCAGTATGTCCGAATCAACTTGTTCAAATAATTTTTTACGATTTTCCACTATCTATCTATCTATCTATCTATCTATCTATCTATCTATCTATCTATCTTTTTCAAATTATTTTACGATTTTCCATAGAATATCATCTATAATCTCTATCTATCTGTTAATGATATTCATCCGAAACCATCTTCAAATAATTTTTACCCTTTACGTTATGTACATCTATTCTCATATCTATAAATCATATTATCTATCACATTATTATCCAGATATCATTATTCCACTATCAAACAGTTTACGAGTTTTCCATACATCTATCTATCTATCTATCTATCATCGTCAAACCCAGACCTCAGAAGGAATCAACTTGTTCCTTTTTTAAATTTTCCATATTATCTATCTATCTATCTATTCGACTTTGAATATCAGTACGTCCGAATCAACTTAATTTTTGATCCCAATGCTATCAGTCATCTATATATCTAGAACCATCTATTGACCCAGATTGATATTCTCTTTTCCACTATCATCTATCCAAACAATTATCTATCATATCAATTTTCAATATCAGATTAGCTTCCGAATCAAATTTCAAATAATTTTTACGATTTTCCACCATTCTATCATCTTGTTAGTTATCTTTCTATCATTTCTTGACCCAGATATCAACGTCTGAATAACTTGTTCAAATAATTTTTACGATTTTCCACTATCTATCTATCTATCTTCCATATATCGATCTATCTATCACCCCCAGATATCTGTCCGTCCGAATCAACTTGTTCAAATAATTTTTACACATTCCACTATTTGTTCTATCAGACATCTATCTATCATTCATCTTTCTATCTCTTGACCCAGATATCATACGTCCGAATCAACAAAATAAATAATTTTATAAAAACAGATTATCTATCATCATCTATCTATATATCTTTTTATCTATCATTTTGCCAGATATCAGTACGTCCGAATCAACTTGTTCAAATAATTTTTACGATTTTCCACTTCTTCTATCTTCTATCTATATATCTATCTATTTATCTATTGATAGATATCAGTACGGAATTGGTAGTTCAAATAATTTTACGATTTTCCTATCTATCAATCTATCTATCTATCTATCTATCATCTATTTCAGGTATCAGTACGTCCAAATCAACTTGTTCAAATAATTTTTATTATTTTCCACTTTCTATCTATTTCTATCTATCTATCTATCTATCTATCTATTGACCCAGATATCAGGACCCAAGAATAACTTGGCATCAAATAATTTTTTACGATTTTCCACAGATCTATCTATCTATCTATCTATCATATCTATCTATTGACCCAGATAAAGTACGTCCGAATCAACTTGTTCAAATAATTTTACGATTTTTCCACTATCTATCTATCTATCTATCTATCTATCTTTCTATCTATCTCTTGAGGCATGGATCAGTACGTCCAGAATCAACTTGTTCAAATAATTTTTACGATTTTCCACTTATCTATCTATCTATCTATCTATATATCAGTCTATCTATTGACCCAACTATCAATAGGGATTGTTCAAATAATTTTTACGATTTTCCATATCCATCATCTATCTATCTATCTATCTATTTCTATTCCAAGGTCCTTCAACTTGTTCATTATTTTTTCGATTTTCCACTATCTCCTGATTTGCTATTTGTTTATCTGTTCCTAGATCAAAGTATGTTGAGACAACTCGTTCAAATAATTTTTACGATTTTCCACTATCTAATCTATCTATCTATCTATCTATCTATCCTATCTATCTATCTATCTATCTTTCTAAAAATTATATTAATGTATATATTATCAAGAAACTTTTCTGAGTTAATGATATTCATAGAAACCATCTCTACATATTTTATATTTGTTGGGGGGTTGTACATAATTCTTTAGCCACTAAATCATATATAGCATTTATTATTATTACACTAACAGGGAACTTTTGGCACCGGGTACATTCAGTTAACTCTCACGTCAAAACAAAGACCTCAGAAGGATAATGCCTTCCTCAAAATATGCGTATTTCTCAAAAGAGCCGACTTTGAATAATTTTAATTGGAATTATCCCAATGCTCCAGTCACCACTAGAACCACCTTGATATTCTCTTCATGCATTCCAAACAATTTTACATATCAACTTTCAAATCAGATTAGCTTGTAAATTTATTTATTTTTTAGAAGTTGTATTTGTGTCATTTGCATGGAAACATCAATAATTTGACAGTTAATTCGTCTAGTACAATAGTTTCCAGACGGCGATCACGGTATCACCCGTCTTTCCCAGGATATTGGGGATATCACGAGCTTCATTTGTTCGTCAGACAGTCCTCGTACCAATTTTTTGCAACTTGGTATCCATACTTTCGACAAAATAACCAATGGATATAAAAACAGATTATAACAGCATCTTTCATATTCTTTTTGAGCGAACATTTTGCAACCACTGATCAGGTGAATCACATTCTTAGAGTGTTCACCACAGAGCCAACATTTTGGAGTAATTGATATCGATCTTATAGTATTGTTAGCAAGTGGTTTTGTGATGCAATCATCAATGATTCAATTATTTTTCAGGTCACCACGTCTTATCCAAATCAACGGATTTTATCCTTATTATTTTTAATTTCTGGCGATTAATTTCATTCCGCACCCACTTCTAAATGACCTTTCCAGGAAAATAGAAAAAGCCTTTCGAAAGTGTGGGCACCCTTTGTATCTCCTTGGGTCCTGGACTTCCAGGAATCCCTTCAATTAGTCTACTGAATGGAAATCAGTCCTTCAATTCCAACTGCACAGGGATTGTTGATGTTCCAAAGATTTTTCACGAAGTCTCATTCTATTATTATATTATTATCTTATTATTATTATTTATTATTATTATTATTATTATTTCTAGTATTCCTGATTTGCTTTTGTTTATAGTTCGTTACAAAGTCTTTGAGACCTAAGATAAAGTAAAGGGATTTTCTTAACAAGATGACAAGAGTAAAGGAATGTTTTGCTAAACAGCTATTGGGCATATTACACGAAGAAACTTTTCTGAGTCAATCTATGTTACCTCATTGCAGTCTATTTCTTAATTTATTTAGCAGTATTCTTTTTAAGCATTTCAAACAGGGGAATCTATTTATTAAAATTTTTAATTGAAATCTAACAATTTCTGTTATTAGTTATTTTTTCGTATTTTCCAATCATGACCCAGTGCACATTAATTTTTAAGTCTGCTTTTATTTTTAGAAGCTGTTTGATGCGATTTGTCACTAATTTGGAGTAATCTTCATTGATTTGGGGATCACGGTAACAAACGTCTTTAATGGACGTCACGAGCTTCTCTTTCGTCATACAGTCCGTGATCTCTCTGTAAGGCTTGACAAGTGTGTTCGTGCGGTGTTAAATGTTTCGTGAATATGACAAATCGCAAAATGGCCGTAGGACAACTTCGACAGTCGAGACAATAGTGTCTGCGATAAAATCTGATGCCATAGATGGCGCAATATTTTCAAAAAACCTCATCTCATCACGAAAATAGATTCATATAACCGCACACCACTTCAAATGACCTGAGGAAAAAATAGAAATCGATTACACCCTGACATTCCAGTGGGTCCTAGACTGACTGTATGATGAAAGGAATGGAAGCGGTTGTTTCAATTAATTTGCACAAGTGTGTAGCTATCCCTAAAGATTAACACGAAGTCTCATTCTATCTATCTATCTATCTACCTATCTATCGATTGCAGTCTATTAATATCTATCAAACTATCTACTGCAGTCTATTGATATTTATCTATATATCTACTGTAGTCTATTGCTATCTATCTATCTATCTATCTACCTACTGCAGTCTATTGATATCTATCTATCTATTTATTAAAATTTTTATTGAAATCTATCAGTTTGTTTTACTTTATGTAAATCTATCCGTACATTTTTATTTTTACACTATTTACATTGTTCGGACTGTTGTTTTCATCTTCATTGTCATAATCACGACGTTTCACCCGTAAGAAGGCCGGAGTGTCCGACGGTGTAAATGTTGTGAATATGACAAAGAAAATTAGGACAACAGTCCGAACAATGTAAATAGTTTAAATAGTTACAAACCTCATCTCAGAAATGTAGACAGCTCCTGAAGAAGGCTGGAGCGTACAACGGCCGAAACGTCGTGAATATAACAATGAAAATGAGGACAACATTCCGAACAATGTAACTAGTGTAAATAGTTACAATACCTCATCTCAGAAATGTAGACAGCTCCTGAAGAAGACGGAGCGTACAACGGCCGAAACAATGAAAATGAGGACAACAGTCTGAACAATGTAAATAGTCTAAATAGTTACAATACTTCATCTCAGAAATATAAACAGATTTGTATTTTTATTATATTTATAGGTGTGTGTGTGTATGCGTGTGTTGAGAGGATTTTATCCGATGCTATTTCTTACTATAAAAGTTATTTTTAGATTGTACATGTTTTTGAGTAGCTTTCCCTGCTTTTTTTTTATTTCATCAATATGAATCATGATTCCATTATAAAAAACAATGAACGACAACATTTAATTTCTTTTCTTTATTAGACATTAAATTAAGTGTCTTAGCATCCGCAATAATTTACCTAGACTTTTCACTTAACCTTGTTTATATTTATGAGAGTTCTTAAATTTATAAATTCTGAATAACTAAAAACATTCTTACATTTGCCTTGATAAAGTTCATCAGAAGAACGAAACGCGTCGGCTAAGTTAATTTTTACTATTTTCTTTATTCATATTCAAGTAGGTTTGGTTAAATAATTTAGATATATCATGTCGATTAGTTTTCGTTGTGTTTCTTTCAAGTTCACAAATTAATTTCTTGTTAGCCTTAGAAAATTGATTAAGAAAAATGTCAAAATTTTCTTTCATATAGTTCTTATTTTCCCAAATACTTTCAATCTCATCTGACACCATCTTTAGGTATTTAATTTGTCTGTGAGTATTCATATATGTTTTTGTGAATTCAAAACATTTCAACTGTTCGTTTTTATTACTTATGCAGCGTCCTAGATTTCAAAGTTCGAAGTTCACGTGTTTTGTGGGATTTTTTCCCAGTATAATGGAAGTAACATTTCAATTTTTAATCATACATATATAATGTTTTTACAAACATTTAAGGACTTTGTTGCTATACTCGTCGTTGACTTTTTGAAATTTTGGCCTTTAATTCTCTTATATAAAGGGCTTCAAGGATTTTTAGTTTTTGATTATTATTGTTTTTATGCAATATAGGTGTATTTTCAGCTAATATCCGTCTAATCTGCGAATGTGGGCATGAGGGTTCCTTTAAATGCTGAGTTATTGAGCTATGCTCAGCCAAATGAAATGAAAGTTGTTTTTTTTTTTTGTTAGCATCGTCGTAGTAAAGCCAACGTACGTATTGACATTTTTAACAGAGATGCAATCTTCTAAAGGACAATTTAAATGGATATACAATGTTGGCCTTTTGAAAGATGCTAACGGAGAAGAATTGCTTTGGACAACTAGGTTGCTAGTATTATAGATATTTAACCAAACGTGTTTGAATGAAAAGATGCTGCCTAAATACACTATATATATATATATATATATATATATATATATATATATATATATATATATATATATATAAAAACATGAATATTAGAAAGTTTAATACAAGAGTGAATGTCATCACGGACGCAAAATAGCTGTTTAAAAAAACATAATTTAATAATAATCTATTCTTTGAAGATATTATTCTATAAGGAACTGATCAACATTAAACAAACACTAATCAAAAATAACTTCTGTCGACGAACAAATATTAGCCTTAACGAAATTTAAAAAATATAGGTTGTTCTAATAACTTGAACCGATTTTAAATGTGAATTAAGTTAATTTTTTTTTTTTTTTTTCTTTCAGATTTAACAACTTAAGTATTTGGCAATTTCAACCATGGAAAAATTAACGATCAAACAACGTCTTAAAGTTATCGAAGCCTATAACGAAAATGGACGTTCAAAGTGAAATGCATTTCGCGCACTTTGCGATTATTTTGGTCATCATAATCGACCAACCGAGAGTGCAATTGGAAAAATTGTTCATAAATTCAAACAAACTGGGTCGGTGGCAGATGTGAAAACACCACTGCGTGCTCGTTTACGTCGTTCAGCTGAAAACATTGCTGCAGTGCACGAGAATGTGGCCGAAAATCAAGATACCTCTCTTCCTCATCGCGCGCAGGAATTGAACCGCTCCACAACAACGTTACATCGAATTTTGACAAAAGATTTGTCGCTACACAATTACAAAATTCAATTGACACAAGACCTGAAACTTACTGACCATTTGGAGCGCCGTAAATTCGTCAATTGGGTGCACGAGCAAAGACAAGCCGATGAAGACTTTTCGCAAGAAGTCCTCTTTAGTGATGAAGCACATTTTCATCTTGGTGGATTCGTTAATAAGCAGAATTGTCGCATTTGGGCTGATGAAAATCCAAGGAAGATTGTTGAAAAGCCACTGTATCCACAAAAGATCACTGGTGTGAATTTTTTGCTAGCGGAATCATAAGGGCTGTATATAATTTATAAATTTGAACGTCCACTTTCGTAATAGGCTTCGATAATTTTATCCCGTTGTTTGATTGTTAAATGGTTGAAATTGCCAGAGACGTAAGTTGTTAAATCTGAAAGAAAAAGAAAAAAATCATTAGACGCTTAAACTTAATTCACATTTAAATTTGTTCCAAGTTATTGGAACACCCTAATGCTAGAAACCTCCCTGATGCAAACAAAAAATAAACACTCCATTAACTTATTCTATTGTAGCCAGATGCACGCTAATTATAAAAAGGATGAAAAACAATTCAAAAGATAATTCGCTGATACATATCACATAATGTTCCTAACAAACATCTAAGATTTATCATCCACTATAAAAAGTTTAAAACATCTAATCTAATTATTACCGACAACACGAAACCTCAAAAATTACCCTATGTCAAGATAACGTTTTTTTTTTCTGTTCTTTTGTTCTCAAGGAGATTGTATTTCCAACATTAATAATAAAAACAGCATTAAATTCTTACACAGGCACCGCACTCTCTTGCTGGTTGAGCTGTCATCTGTTGTCACCAGCACATACCGGCGACCAAAATACATCTACCAATATAAAACATATTTTAGTGGATAATACCAAATTACTTTTCATCACTATTTCAAACTTCCAGCTTTCCAAAGAATTCTAGCTTGTAGATAAAGAACTTGTGTCTACCACACAGACGCTACACTGGTTCTTGAAAATGACTGAGACGCTCGAAAGAGATTGAACAAAACTATGATACAACATGAACTTCGGACAGGGTCTCCAAAACTTCCAAACCTATACTTAATACATTATTCGAAAATTTGCAAAATACAATAAAAACGAAGCAAAACGACATTGTTGGTTCTTTAATGAAACTTGTTTGAATGAAAATTGCTGCCTAAAGACACACAAATATAAATATATATATATATATATATATATATATATATATATATATATATATATATATATATATATATATATATATATATATATATATATATATATATATATAAAAATCCGTTGGTTGGTATATAATCCAAGTGGCTCCTAGTAATATAAAATATTAGAACTGATCCACAAATTATTTATACAGAGCAATATAATTAATAATCAAACTAATCCTGTCCCGTGCCTATCATCTGACTAAAACATTGAAAAGTGTAAACTCTATATTTGGTGTTTTGGGCAAGTTAAAGTTTATGCTCCCAGTATCAATTCCTCGCAATTAATTGCTACATCCTGCTTCCTCTAATTTTACAGACGTGAACTTCATTCCACATCGAGGATGAAAAGACAGACAACCACTTTCGTCGCCTGTCGAAATAGCCTATTCCCCATATGAGGCAAAAGGATTTGATTATATATATATATATATATATATATATATATATATATATATATATATATCAGCGAAAATAATCTGTACCTGAAAAAAAAAACTTAGAACCAGAGAAAAATATACGAAAGAAAAAATACAGTACATATAAATAAATTAAATATATAAATGAATAAAATAATAAAATAAGACATAAAAAAAAATCATCAGTATAAATGATATGACCTTGGATAATCCAAAATATTAATCAGAAACAAAACTTGGGAGGTCCGGCTTCTTTCTTTCCCTCCTTCTTTTAATCCCCCAGTAATCTATATAGACAATCCGCTAAAAGAGTATGGACACATTGTTTGATTATTACTTGAGGTATGTAACTGACCGTCAGCATGCAGCGTTGATTTCTGAGTGAACGCTCTTCATAGCTATAAACGCATTATCTCCACTACTGAATACTTTGGCCCTCAGTAAAATATACCGGTTTTTATACAGTTTATATACCGGGTGTAACAGCAAAATTGTCCAAATCGTGTAACAGCATGGGATAATTGTCTATCCCACATAATACTTAATATCTAAAAAAAAAAAAAAAAAATTAAAAAAAAAAAAAAAAAAAAACACTAAACTAATTGAGTTTCTTTTTTCCGTGTTTTCAGATAAGACGTTTAATCATCTTGATACCATTTGTCGTAAGAATCAGTGGGAAGCCCTTTGAGTTATTTACTTAGAAAGAGAACGGGTTAAAATAATTTTGTGTCAGCCCCATTATGCCTTTCCAACTGAGCAATGATAAGAGGAATAAAGGCCTTCTGTAAAGGTGCCAACATTCATACTCTGGCTTTCATCTTCAAAGTTCATTCAAGATCCATCAAGAGAACAGGGAATAAGTTTGAAAAAGAGGGAACAAGAGAGAGGGAAACTGGACCAGGAAATCACAACAGCAAGAGGGACCAT